TAAGTTTCCACCGAGGGTTCAAATCGGGTTAGAGTCGGGTTAGAGTCGGGTTGAGGTGAGCGCTCTTACAGTGGAAACACCAAAGTTTTAGTTGAACTCTACCCTATAAAATTGTAGGGTAGCGTTCAATTGAGGTTCAGTGGAAACGACAAGAGTCGAGTTCATGTTGTCAATATATCAAATCCAAATTGCATTGTGTTGCATTGCAATATCACGTGTTGGTGTAAACAAAATTCTCATTACTTCATTACTTTTTTACAATGAATTATATTCAGGAAAAAAAGAAGCCAGCCAGTGTTTTTTAAGAATTGTAAAAGATTTACAAGTTACAACTTTAATGGATGGGAAAAAATTTCGGACAGCAGAAATATTTAAAAAAGTCGAAGCAACATTCCAAACCGAAGGATACAATAAAACACTCAACTTTCAGAAAAATTTAAAACAATGAAAAGTATGTAAATTAAAAGAATCATTGCTCATTTATTTGATCATAATTTGTAATGGCTACATTATTATGTAGAACTAACAACGAGTTTTAATTTATCGTTATGATTATAACTTTTGCAACGTATTAGCTATTTTTTACATTTAATAATTTTTGTATCTACAAAACAATTTAAAGCTATAATACGAAGTTTATCTGTAAGTGGTGCTGGGACGCAAGATAAAATGAAATGCCAATTTTTTGATGAACTAAATGAAATATTTGGCCACCGTCCAATTATCAATCAGACTGGTGTAGATTCTACTTTACTGCCTCTGGATTTAAGTAAGATTTTCAAATATTTAAATTTATATTTCATTGCAGCGCTGTCATAGTGAATTAATATAAATATTTTATACTAACACACTAATATTATAGATACATAATTGATATTATGATACTGTATTTTTCAGGTAATAAGACCTCTGGTGAGGCGTCATTATCTTCTGATACACAACATCCACTTCCGTCATCATCACCAATACTGAACTCCTTATTGGATGACAGCAGAAGCATTTGTACACGTCCCTTAAGATCGCAAGAAGTAGATAATTGTAACGAACTACGCACTTCTAAAAAGCGTAAAATATGTGGAATACCTACTAGTCTCAGTCGCGAAAATCCACGAGCTGGTTTTAAAAATATTATGCAGAATTGTGTGAATCAAATAATGGAATCTCAAGAAAAGCTGTTGATGAAAAGTATTGAAGAATAGCGCAAACTTGATAAGGAAATGTTTATTCAATATAATAATATCTTTTTACAGCAAACACAAATCTTACTCACAGGATTGCAAAATTTGACTTCACCGTCTCCACAAAATTATGCAACATTTCAACAATTTTGTGGCGTTTCAACTATGCCAGCAGTAAAACCAATGTTCACAGAGAACTTAAATCAATCATATCGTACACAATCAACATTTTCGCATGGTCTCCCATTATTATAAAAGGTATTTCAACATCATTTAATGTAACTGTTTCCTGAAATAATTATATAAGACATATTATGTAATTATAAATTTATATTAATACTTTAAATTGTTAATTTAAATATTCTGTAACATTTTTTCTATAATATTAATATAGTACTGACAATAATTTTTGGATTCTACTACAATATTGTTTGTTAGCGTCGAGTCCTCTATAGAGGACATGCACGTGCCAAAAGTGATACACGTGTCAGAAGGCAATGCATTCAAGGTCTTTGACCTGCTTCTAAGAGGTCTTAGGCTGCCGATATTGAGGACCTACATCTGCCCGTCATCGAGCTAAGGATCGGTGGTAACCGATAGCTAAGGACCGCGACGAATTCTAAGAGTCGCGAATGTTATGGTTAGAGGTCGATGCCTTCTTCTTTGAGGATCACCGAAGGTGTCGTGTCTCGTGGCCGATGACCCGACGTCATGGTGCTGCGTGGCACGTGTATAGAGATTAGGGTATTCCTATAGAATCTGCCCACGGAGTGGGGAGGTAGGGATGCCTTTGGTAAGAGGACTGAGTTTGACCTCTCGGCACTTACCCCAAAATCTTCGTAGCGAAAAGATCGTTTTAATTGGCATAGTTTTTAACAAGTATAATACTGGAACTATTATGGATAATATCACTTAATCCAACCTATATTAAAAGTATTATAAAAAAGAAAATTGGAAAGATAACATGAAAAACTAAAGGTTCCAAAACAGCTAAGCGGCATATTCTATAATATGCGCTATATAAATCTCAATGTTTTAGAATTTTTTCAGAATTCTTGTACTAGATTAAATAGGCAAAATAGGCCAAAAACCGAAATTACGTTTTTCTTTTTTTATTGCCCCATGGTTGAGATAGGGATTGAAACTTGGTGTAAGATGTCCTTTCTTTGATATGCTATCGATTGCCGTATTGCATATTTCATTTGGCTTAAGTGCATTTTTGATCCGCTCCCTTTTTCCTCGTGTCGCGCTCGCTAGCATTAGGAAACTTGGCTTGAGCCCGTATTCCTACAAGTTGCTCGACATCTAGAAATAGATTGATAGATGTAACAACAGCGTAACAATTCGGCAACGATGCCTTCGCGTCGTTTCTCTGCCAAAAGTTGGGGGGTAATAGGAATAGGAATGACTTCGGTTTGGGAGCTTGAAGCAACAAGTTGAAGTCCGTGTATTATCTTGTTTTTGGCTAATTTTTGGGTTTGACTATATAGTTAAAAGTGTATCTTGTTTAAGTAGTGTTTTTTGGAGCTTGTGCGCATGTTTGCGTGATTTGGTTTGGGGTTTTTTATTGAATTGAGTAAGTCTCAAGCCTGTTATTACGGCGGGCTTGTGCAGCTTACTTAGTGGCGTCGGCACAGCTCCACGCTTATTGTAGTATTTTCGTTTTTTCCCTCCGCAGCCCTTCGGGGCCGGAGTAGTTATCCGGAGGTAGATAATAGTGGATGGACTACAGTAAGTCCGAGGAAAAATTCGCCGAAGAAAAAAAGGTGTGCGTTTCCTAGAACTACTCAGAATAGTAATTCAAAAAGGAAGCCGGCAGCCATGCTGAAACTTACGACGCCATCTGATGGTACATTGAAATATCCGACTGGTCATATGGGACCTGCATCTGTTATTGTTTCACTCGTTGAGAGTAAGAGTAAAAAACATAGATCACAGAATATATTGTGCATTGCTAAATGCATTAGTAAATTGATCTTAGGTGCCCAAAGTATGCAACCTCGAGGCTTTAATAAAGCTGAAGTATTTTTTAATAATGGCAAGGAGGCTAACCTCTTTTTTGTGTCAAAGAATTTGAAGGAAGCCGGAATTACTGCCTTTGTTCCTAGGAATAAAGTAGAAAAGAAGGGACTAATCAGAGGTATTAGTCTTGATATCGACGTTCAGGAATTAATTGATTTGACCTCTTCCCTGTGCAGAATTTCATTTGCCAAAAGGCTTAACAGGAAGAATTTTAATTTGGAAACAAAGGAAACTGTTTGGATACCGTCTGAGACTGTACTGTTAACCTTTGAAGGGTCGGTAGTCCCTGAAAAAGTGCAACTCTTTGGTTTGCTCAACAAAACAGTTCAACCTTATATTGAGAGAGTCAGAACGTATTTAAACTGTGGAGGTTATGGTCATACAGCCATCAAGTGTAGACGTCCAGCTGTTTGTTTTGCATGTGGGCAGAGTAAGGATGAAGACCACGTTAACTGTTCCCCTACTAGACAATGCCTTCATTTCAAGGGTGAACATCAAACATTTCATCCTGAATGTCAGGAAATGAAATTTAATGTGGAGGTTAATCATATTTTAGTCCATAGGGATGTTAGTATTTATGAGGCTCTTTCCCAGGCCAAGTTAAATCTTGGAATGAATAATCATACAAAGAAGAAAAACACATCCTCCACTGAATTTAGTTCTAGTAATTTTCCATCGTTGCCTGCAAGTGTAACGTCTCTGGGGAAACGTTTTTTTCTCAACCACCAACATCACGACAATCTTCTGCCCACCTATTAGAATACCCAATTACCGACAGTAGTTGCCAAATTATCGACAGTATGTCGCGTATCGATCATCGATCTATCAAACTCAGCAGTCGGTAATCAGAGTAGATACATATAAATATATATATAT